CATGAATACACTCTCCAAAGACCTTCAAACCCTTCCAGATGCACACGATAGGCCGATGCGTGCATGTTTGGTTATCCGTTAGAACAAATTCACTGCGTGAAACTGAGAAAGCCTGTGCCCTACGATAGTCCGGGAGTATGATATCTAATTGCGTTCAGTTGTTGCGAAGTTCACCAAATTAACATCATACTCTCAACACTTCTTTGATGGAAAGCTTTAACCTTAACCCTTGGCTTGTCCGCTACTCATTTAATTGAGCCTGTATAAAGACTGAATGTAAATTGAGTACGGTGATCGATGCGTTATTTGGTTATTCGGTTGTCTCATGGCCTCTACTGAACTAAAAATCGATATCAACTGCGTCTTTCTTCGATCCGGATTAAGCACAACAAGCTCTGTGAAACGAAGGGTAACTGATCCGATAGTATGGTAAGTTATCTATCCATGATAAAGCATGCGAACATTGTTCCATTCGTCTTTTGATAGTCGAAGCAACGGGTTGGTACTTGGCGCGCACGGCTAGCAAGCGGGGTACCAGTTACACTAACAGATGGATATATAATACAGACTACTCGACTATACAACAAAATTGTTTTCCCTAAGCATGTGCTTATATAATATAGTAAACAATCCCTTTCCTGATTTCACGAAAGATGGAACCCATGGGGATGCTTAGAAGTAGTCAGTTAATATGAGTTAGCAAGCCTGTAGACACCTAGGTGATAATGCTACGCCGTTACAATACATCTCGTAGATATCCACGAACTCGATACATCTGCACTGTGCTTCCGCAATCACGCAGTTTTCCGTTCCCACGTCTGTTTGGAGCAGGAGGGGATGTGCAACTGATGGGGAGCGTTTGCATCATGAAGTTTCAAAAGTAATCTTTATTCATTCACTCAGTATAGATGTTAGCTGCGACATGCGACAGCGGCACGCAGGCTGAGTCACCAGTAACGGATGGGCATCGTTTCGGAGAGCTAACACTCAGCTCTTGTGCCGCTCAAAGTCTTATTACATCTAATGATTGAGATCGTGCCCAAAGGGGAGGCTAAACGGGGAAGGGGGGACAAAGAAACTCTTAACACAAACCTTATTGATGTCGGCCCCTAGCCATGTCAACAACTGTAACCAGCCAAACGAGTTCACCATCCTTCGGTCCCCAACCAGGGCGCCGAGAGGTCCAAACAGAAGTCAACTTCGAAGTAAGGGCCTTCATCCCTCTTGACCAAATCATCGCTTGGCCACTCCTACTCTTCTTCCATCCGCACCCCGGCGCGCAAACAACGCGCGTCGCGGGAGTCATTGGGCTGACATGCGTAACACGTGGCCCACCCATCGGATCCTGATGTATGAAATGACGGTGCTGAGCGGTTCGCTTCTTGTTCCTGTGCCATAACCAAGGCGTCGAACACGCTCATTGCTCACACGGCGTTTCCACCAGATATTAGCCAAACTGCAAAGGCACCGGTGATCGAATGTAACTAGCCTCCGTATGTCGGCTGATCTGACGGGCCATGTTTCACAACTGTACAGTAGGGTCGTACGTACCGTTGCACTGTACACTCAACCTTTCAGGGAGAAAGGGATGTTGCGCCGGCGCTATATGCGACGAAGGTTAGCAAAAGCGCCTCGGGCATTTACTATACGCTTTGTGATCTCGTCTTTAATCCCAACGGCGCTGATACAACTACCAATGTAGTTGAACTTGTGAATGACTTGTAGCTGATCCCACCAAGAGTCAGCGCAGGAGGCGGTCCCTGCCAATCTTGGAGGAAAGCTTTACACATCGATGGTGCAAAGCATAGCCCGGAACGGTTTACTGCCAGTGCTAATCTATCCAGTGATGCTTGGCACGTTTGTGAGCTGTCACAGATGAGGGCAATATCTTCTGCATACTCCAAGTCAAGAAGCCGTTCACCTTGAATCAGCTGCACAGCTTCTAAGTTGTGTCCAGTGAACGTGCTTTCCATGACTTCGTCAATAGCGAATTTGAAGAGGAAGGTAATGACAGGCATCCTTGTCTCACACAGCTGGAGATATTGAAAGGCGGCGACAGCTTGCCGTAAGCCCACACTCACCTCGAGTTACGCGCTCGCATAATATTTACATATTTTTCGGGCACATCTTTCCTTAGTAGACAGTCCCAAAGGGTACGTCGATCTACTGAAGCAAAGGTACCTCTGTTGTCGAGGAACACGACAACGGTGGGCCGCCAATGTATGTGACGGGGCTTAGCAACTGACGTAATGTGAATATGTGGTTGTTGCATCCCCCACCACGACGAAACCCGGCTTGATCCCCACGAATCTGGTTTTCTCGAGCGCCAATCGGTCTGTGAAAGATTATAGAGGCGAGTAATTTGGAGGCGATGGGGATCAGATTGATTCCTCTATGGTTGCCGCATTCCGAAAGCGAATCTCCTTTGAAGATCGAGACAATACCGGAACGGCTTTAGTAGGTTGGGAAAATTTCCTGCTCCCACAGTTTCATTAGTAACTCGTCTTAATCATCAAAAAGGGTAGGACCCCCAAATTTGAAGAGGGCTGGATGAAGACCACTTGGTCCCGCGGCTTTGTTAACTTTAGCAGTTCAGTCTCGGTTTCGACTTCTGAGCGAGAGGGCGGATCCAAAGGGACAGCTCAGGGAGCAGGGCGATCACTGACCAGTGCGGAATCTAACAATTCCGGAGGATTAAATTTTTTTCAACATGCTCGGACTAAGGCTCCAAAAGTTTTGAAATTATTAGATAAGATGTCCACTCTCGTCACGTATAGATTCACTAACAGCAGGTCTCCTGTTGCCCGTTTCCTGTACCAGACGGAGTAACCTCGGATGGTTACCAAGGGCAGCGGCCCGAAATTAATCCTACTTGAGGGTCATTTTTATACACTCGTTATGTGAATGGATTAAGATGTGGACCGCGATTCGCAGTGAAGTAACTCTTGGTCACTGCGATCACTGGGACCGTAACTGATCAGGCCCATGGATACTTGATGTTGGCTGCGTGAAAACCGTATAATCCATGATGCGTTTCGATCATGTTTGATCTCAACTCCTGAACTTGGCGCTATTGAGATGTTAGCCGAAATCTTTTAAGCTAAGCCGCCGGGTTGCAGCGAACGTGTGATCGAACTGACCAAGGTTCACTTTAGGAGGAATCACGATCAACATTCAGATTGCCAGTTCCAACTCATCCATACAACGTGTACTAAAAAATGACCCTCAATATCCATCAGTAACCGTTATGCCAAGCGTTGCCCGCTGTGACCCGGTGGCTAACAGGCTAGGGGTTTCTGCTGACATCCCAATGGTCTCGGGTCTGAAGGTGCTACCATCATCTGATGTGATCTAATAAATCCGAAACGTGAGCTTGAGTGCAGTGTTTTCGGGCGGACATCACACAATATTTGTCTGCTTCATTAGTGCCATCTTCCTGATCGACATCCGAATGTTGGTGCACCCTCCGGTCTTTCTCTTTTATTATCACTGAAGCCCGTGTCGCAAACTCGAACAACTAGCGTTGGAAAGGTAGATCTGGGTGGGCGCATCACTAAATACCTAAGACTGTACATAATAAATATGGCATTTGACTGGAGGCGTACATTTCTCTACGTGCGGATAGTATAAGCTACTCCAATGATAAAATCTGATAACGTTGGGGAATTGATTTACTTCCCCTCGCTGATGTCGGAGTGGAGACACTGGTTTTTGTCACTTGCTCCCGAATCAAGCTGGGACAACTACCACAAACTACAGGAAACCAAAAGCTTAAAATGACTGAATGACGCACAGATAATACTTAAAGACGTTATACCTTCGCTCGGTAGTTAGGGGAACGTGTACATTCATTTGCATGAAACAATATAAAAGTACGCGCGTTGTTTATTCCCGGTGGAATATGGCAAATTGGCGATAACAATCTGTAAAGTACTCCCACTTTAACCCTAATCCATGCTGGGAACCATAGCTCCAACACAAGGTCGACCAGATAGTAAGTGTTGTGGCCGAGCAAGCCTCGCACGTTGTCTACAACAGAAGCAAAGTGTTCCACTCTGGCTTCACTACTTCTTCCGACTAGTGAGTTTTCCTTTTAGAGAAACACAGCGGACATCGCCTGGGATCCAAGAGATCGAGAAATTCACTTACTAGCTTGTGTGTTGATTAAGTAATTAAAATTAACATTCCGGTGAATTATCATCTACATGCACTGGAGCCGGGCTTGGATTATTCTGACAGGTTATCTGTTGAACACTTGACTGCATGAGGATCTTACTGGCAAACTTCGTTTACGGCTCATCCCGGTTTCCCCATATTATGGACTGACGCGCACAGTAGCTGTGACAGTCAGGCGCAAACCGATTGAAAACAAGCGTCATCAATGTGTGTCCTCAGCGCTTGCACTAGTCGATCCCCTGACTCCGTTACGTTGTACCACGGGTAACGTTCGGCAATTAATACTATATATAGTATGTGCCGGATAACCGTAACGGTTCAGGTACGTTGATCAAATGGAAACTGGTAGTTTGACTTAGAGCTCTATAACTGACAACGGAACGGAAGCAGAATCCATTACGGTCATTCAAGTCAGCATTTATCATTGCAATACCGGTGCCAGCAAACGTTGAGGCTAGTTGAGACTGGAGTCCAAGCTAACTTGTGACTGCGCCTGGCAGCCATCTTCCCTACCATCTCTGACAACAAATGAGTAGGTTCGCGTTTGTCGGAACTTTTTACCCACTGTAACCAAAATTATGAGGTTCAGCACACTAATTAGCGGCCAAGTAATCCGGAGACCTGAAACGACTCATCTGAGTTCGGTTCTGTCGATCCCACGGCCCCAAAATTGACCTCTCTTTGGCTGGGGTCAAACGAGAAAACCGCCGCTTTCCCATTGGCCAAAGCAACTCAGTGTAATTACCAGGTGTTTATGGTCAGGATGCTTGCTGGTTCGCCGCGAGGATGGTGATTGGGTGTTCGAGCAGGACTCACTCAGCTCTGTGTGGGGCGAATCATTCGAGCGAGCAAGCATGCAGTACGAGTCGACCCACTACAGAGGCTTGCATGAGCAACATTTTAGGGTAGTGGGAGAGTGAAGGGGGGCGGACGGGTTGTGTGGATAGGGCAGAGATTGGACGAGTCGAGTTAGGATGGGAGTGGTGGATTCGATGAAGTACACCCTTACCCGTGCATACGTTCGCCTGGCTCCTGCTTTACACGTCTGCTCCGTTCGCCCAACCACCAGGCCGTATTTGATCGAGCAGTCGCTCAAATGGACACACACAACCAAACGGAACGCGCATGTCACATGTGCGCATGCAGTCAGCGTACGTGAGCTTAAGCCTGCTTAGGTGGTAGTAAAGACCTGACATCGCCTGCATTCAGAGCTCCAAATCCCCACCCACCCACCCCCACAGGGCAGCTGAGTTCGCCTACCTAATCGATCAGTTAGACTTACTGCACGTCAGCCCCGTGTACTGTGTTGTTACCCAACTCACCACATCGTTGCCCCGCATGTATGCGGATCGCACATGCGCACGCGCGCTTGCTCGCACACCCACACAGGCACGTACAAGCACATGCACCGGACATCACACAGCGCACGAGCAAATCTCACATGAATGCATGCAGGACCTCGGGGATGGGGCAATGGGCACCATTTATGGGGAAAAAGACGCTGACTGTGTCCGTACGTCAACCGTGTGGTCTTCCAGCTAGCGACCGTCGTGACATCTGCACAAGTGTGTGACTGACACTGGGCCCATTCGCGGACTCATAACAAGACTGAGTGGAGTCCAAGCCCAAATTGCCCCAGTAAAACAACGTTATTCTTTATTTGGCGATTTTGATTTTCCCAATTCTTCAATCCTACCAAGATGACTCTAGAGTCTAACCGGTGGTCGGAACCCAGCGCGAAGGCAAGGAAGATGTCTTCGGATGAGCAGACAGCGGACAGTCCAACTGGAACCAACCTATCTTGCACAAACGTGAAAGGTAGTCCGAGATCGGCCGAATCCGTCCCCAGTCATCATAGGACTTATGATAAATCGGATTATGAATTCACGTCTGATGACGCCGGAAGCGAATGCGCGGCCACCACGTGTCTGCCGACATCTGATCAGATGGTGCCCGGTAAAAAACGACCATTGGACAACGTTTCCCCATCGAATCCAACAACAAAATCTCCCAACGTGGAGGATAAGCGGATTCGCAAATTCATTTGTCGCTACTGCTGCAAAGCATTCAGTCTGATGAATGTGCTCAAGGTACATGAACGGATACATACAGGAGAGAAGCCGTACATTTGTGAAATATGTGACAAGGCATTCAATCAAAGCGGTAAGTCAATCCATATCATCGTTGTTATTGCATTGTACCCTGCTTTTCATGTGTTCTGGTACTGTAACTCTTTGCAGGCTAGCACAAATTATGTAACTGGTCCGGTAGCGTGGGTTTTATCATTGAGAAGTGTGTGATGCGCCGGCTCATCATTGTCTGTTCCAATAAAAACTTACTCGCCAATGAATGTGAATTTCGCCCACGCAGCGAGTGAAGGGAAGGACAACAATTTCGAGACGTGAACCAAGCTTTGGTTCATCCCCTTCGTGTGGAGTGAAGATGGGATAACTTAACTGAAAAAATGTAATCAGGAATAGTGGCTGGTTACTGAATCGAAGGCGCAAATTACACTTTCCTAAGTAAATGACCGTTTCACACCTATCGAAATTGGCAAGTTGCACAACAGCCAATCCTCAGAAGTAAACTTGTGGCGCCACCGAAAGGAAGAATCCATTACTCCAACTTTTACTCCGCTACTAATTACAATGTAAGATTTCTTTTTTTGTGGCGATAACTTACGGTCCATTATCTTACCTCGTTCTGACGTTGAGTGACGATGCACTAACCAGTTCATCCCCGTCAAGTATCTCGGTATATTGTCCCGAGATCCCTCTTAGTACACGAACGTTTGTGAAACCTCACGAATATTTATTTCTTTTTATATATTCTCAAAGGCTGTTTTCAATATGTGGCACTATCATGCTTAAGTTTGTGACCTCATGCAATATCCCCTATCGGTTGTACTGTTCCGCTGTCATCTTTTCTGAATTATTTCAAAAAGGCTACATCATGTTGGCATGAACGATGAAACATTTATCGATACTTGTTCAGATACTCTGATTGAGTTGACCTTTTATAGACATAGTGATGCGTACAATAATTTTTCTTCTAAGGTACTAAATAACCGGTTTCATTCATTGCATTGGAGCTTTTCAAAAACGCCGCCTTTTACTTCTACGTAAGTAAAATTTAAAGTGTTATTTTGAGGGTATGCGGGTGTTCTCCGAGCTGGTTGATTTGGTTGCAGACGTTTCATCGTCAGGATAGACGACATCATCAGTGCGAGTTATGCGAGCCACCTGCGGATCCAAGTGATTATTGATCACTTGATTCGAACGTCAGGAGTCTATTGGTCCACGTGAGCTGACCGTGTAGTCAACTCTTGCGTACTATTAGCTAGAGTCCGCCTCAATGATGTTCCTTTGTCCCTTTGATCTGGGGCGGAGTATTGTTTTAACCCTCAGTGCTTCATAGGCAGTATCAAGATATAAGTACCAAGCCTCGATGAACTCGCCTGCTTTTCGAGTTTTTGCTCTGCCTATGATCCTGACATTCTCCAAATCAAACTGATGATTCTCCGCGTCCATATGTACCGACATCAGTGAGTTCTAGTCATGTTGGCGGATGGCTAGGCTATGCTCATGTAGCCTAGTGCCGAGCTTCCTTCCTGTCTGGCCCACATAATATTTGTTGCATTTTTTCCCAATGTTCCTTCTACCTTACGTGTTACTGTTGTAGATCCTACGAAAGTTGTTAGTGTACTACGAGAGAGATTGTTCCCTTTTGCTCTTCCTTTGTGGATTTTCCTTGATATCTTCCAGCCGTGATAATGTGAATGCTAGGAATGAACCCAGTTTCAAGCGTAAAGCTTATTATGACTTGATCGATTTGACTAGTAAACAAATCGCAGTACGGGAGACTCATATGAGTGTTCAATCCACTAGAAACGGGCTCGAATTTAAGGCCTCAGGAAATGTGTCACGGACCACAAGCATGTCGTAAATTTTAACAACTTGATGACAATTAGGCTATCTTCCTTGCTTAGGCCCTATTTAATTCGATGAGCTGATCATTGCGTAACAGGTTCAACGGAGCATTGTTGCAAAGTTTCCACATTGAAGTATGCGTGCCTGGCACAAAGATTTTTCATTTTCTTCAAATCTGTTCATGCTTGAATGCATTGCCAGCACATGTGCTGGACCTCATGTAGGTCATAAATGTTGCGTAACAGTCTGACAAAGGCCGATATTTGGACCACTGATAGTTCGCGCTTCATGCAGGGCCATCTTGTTTTTTTGTAAGTTACATCCGGTGTGCCTTGTGAAGATACTGCTTTTTAGCCCATATTACGCGATCGACCTACTAAGCTGGTTCCAGTTCCTGCCGAATTAGGAGCTATTCCTTGGATTTCTTAGTTTTGTGGTAGTCAAATACAACCTCTCACTTGGGATCTCTTCCTAGTTGAAAAGCGATGAGCATCTGTACAGTTGCAATATTTGCGAAATCACAGCACACTAGGTACCATAATCACCAATTTGTGGTCTTACCTTTATATCGAACCTTAGGGGGACTCAGCCAGGGTTACGTAGTTCGGACATCGAACACCGCTGAACTGAGTGAGCAAATTAAGACACTGTTTAGAAGACAGATGCTAATTCTGTGCCTGACTCCACTGTGCACACACCACACAATTTCGTGTTGCAGTTCATCGTCTTTTCGAACCGGTTTTCACTGGACAGAAAACTGAATACTCAAATAATGTGCTCATTAAAATGGCCTCTCCAACTCTGAGCCAGACGGGCGATCGTTTGATGAAGCGCTTAATCGAGTCCGAATTATACCATGGCTCCCTAAAGCAATGAGTCGCAATACATTGAGGTTTGTTTTCATCCGTCGCCTAGATGGCCTCGTTGAGTAGTCACATTTCTCTGTCTAATTGCTCAGCATTTCAAGAGGTTGACACTTATGCTCTGTCAGCCTACGTGCTGAGTTTGACAATTCGCTATCTACGTGGTACTCAAGGAGTTGCCGTTTGAGGTGTGAATTCATGCTAATTGCAGGTCTTCGGGATATCTTATCATGCAACTATCGGAACAATTATCAACGCCTGCGATAGCGAGACATCCGTGGTTATGTCACCCAATCCTAGAGTGGTAGGTAAGCCGAACGTGCTCACACTGGTGTGGCAATGACAAAGGAAAAGCGGAGACGCACTGGGATAAAGGGCTCAGTGGCAGAGCGAGCATTCGATCGATTGCGGCATGGGTGACTCAACCGAATCTGACGAATTCGGTCATTGTGGGCAGAAAGAACCTACAGCCATGGCTATCCAAGCGAATAGTCTTAACGCATCCAATGGCGAATTTCAGTCTGTCTACGCAAATAGACAGTTACCTCCTTGCATTGATCGCACACATTACGGGAGATAGGGTTTCCCGGAAACGGTTGCCATCCGATTCGCCAAGACATATTTGGTCATGATTAAATGTACAGCCACGTGAAGTTTAAACTACGAATCTCAATGATAGGAGATTCCGAACTCTAAGAACATATGTTCTAGAGAACAGTAATATAGCAGCATGTCTCTCAAAAGTTTCTGGTGCAGGAGAGTTCGGCGGCCAATACCTACAGAAAGTGTAAGACTATATGACAAGCTACTTGATGACCTAACTCTGTATTCGACAACTCGCTGTACCCCAGGTGAGTTTGGCACAATTTTGACTCACTCAGCACAGACCTCGAGAAGGCCTATTTCGCAAAAGACAAACCACTGTGTATGAAAGGTTGTGCATTAGTCTACTGCATCGGCAACGTATTGTCGCCACTGTTATTGGGGCGAACATACACTTACGATGCAGCAGCGTCCAGATCGAATGGTCTAATTAGACAACCGGTTTTGTCTTTTGCACGTCTCGTCTATAAAACCTGGTTGAAAAGGCCGAACCAACAGTGGCAGTGCGTTTGCAGTGATGGAAATTTGAAATGGATGTAAGTACCCCACACTTTGTGCAGAGCAGAGTAGTCCTGGTTGACAAAGTCGTGTAACACAACACCATATGCCGAAACCTCGTACGGACCATCATCGCAGCTTAAGGAATAGGTATACCGCGCAATCGTCGTTTACTGGCGGTCTACAAGCCAAACACTCTTCTTTAATGTGTCTAAATTGAAGGCCATTTACCACTGCGGCGTACCTCTCGCCCTTCGGTTATTGTTGAGATTTCAGTCCTGCTCGTTTATGACATCTACGTGTAGGCATTGCCAGGGCACCAAGACGAGGCAGGGGCCTAGCATTACTTTCGTTCAGCAAAACCACAAATAAGGACCTATAAGTTGAGTTGTATCAGACGTCGATAGTTTATTATACGCCCAATGCTTACAACGTAAAGTATCATTTCTTCTGCCAGACCTAATGTGATGAAATCTTTGTGGGTGTAAATCTCTGACCTGGTCGAGGAGGGCCAAGCTTTTGACGAGTGCATTGCTTCCGTCACACTCCTCCTTTACGACATCAAGATGGGTGATTCGAGATAATGTGGGATATGGGAGGCGTCCGGTGATAGGGGCGTGTCTGCCATCGCTCTTAGCCAGATTTCCTGCTTAGTGTTTCATCTAATGTGAAGTTACCAGTTGAGCTATTTTGACCTGAATCCTGGAAAGGTGTGACCGCGGGACGTTGTCTCATCCATTTTGTCCCTTCTCCACCCGATAAATAAATAATAAATAAATAAATGGTATATTCTCTGTAAAACGAGACACACCTCTAAAAGGCATGATCAAATGTTCGTGGCTATGCTGGCCATCTGATCTTAAATGTCTGCTTACAGCTTCTAAATTTTCCACTAATGCCTTTCACATTATAATCAGTACCAACAATAGTGGATATTAATATATAATATAAAGGAAACGGCATGGTGTAGGACAACTTCGTACCCAAAATGACATTCTTGTACTTAAGAGCAACGGAAGTCTGCGATGCCATGTTGTGAACGGCATCATTTTCAGTGTGTTAGAGTTACAGGTACCCTCACCTGTTGATATAAGACGTTCGAGTTGTGTGGATGAGTCTTGTGTGGCGGATGTGCACCTTGAGGAACTCGAGTTTTGACCGATAATATTCGGGAAATTTAAAATGCTGTAGTTAGTCCAGGTCATAGTTTTTACTGGACAAAACATAGCTTCAAACATCCCGGTTCGTTGTTCCATCTCCGCTGGTCGAA